CCCCCCCCCTTGCTCCCTCTCCTCCTCTCTCCGCCTGGTGTAGCAAACTAAAAGACCTGGCCAGGCAAATTGCGTACACCAGCAGGAGAGCGATGGGAACCCCTGAACGACAACATCTGCGGCGGACACACCAGGCCTCAAGACTGCTTAAGAGACAATGACATTTGCCACCCGAAAAGCAGGGAGCGGAGCCCAACTTAAGAAAGACTTCGGAGGCGTCGACTTTCAAATCAGGGAGGAACCCGAGGAATGCTGAACACAGTGAGACGAGGGAACTGCAAACTACCCACAAGCCTACAGTATTACAATCATACAGACTTGATTGAAGGTCTCAAGGGACAGAAGGCTAAAACTGCTGCCTAGTAGAAGGATTTAAGGATTAGGGGAGGGGGTATGACAGTGGAGACTTCTAACAAGTAAAGCTGGTCAGTCCCTCGTCTGTTGGGGGAAGGACGTCCACGGTTGTCTATGGGGAGGATGGACAGGGCTAATAATTACGATTGTACGTCTTGCTTCGCAAAAGGGAGGTCAGCCAACTCCCTCCTCGAGAAAGTAATCAATCCTCCAATCATACANGACAGGGCTAATAATTACGATTGTACGTCTTGCTTCGCAAAAGGGAGGTCAGCCAACTCCCTCCTCGAGAAAGTAATCAATCCTCCAATCATACAGACTTGATTGAAGGTCTCAAGGGACAGAAGGCTAAAACTGCTGCCTAGTAGAAGGATTTAAGGATTAGGGGAGGGGGTATGACAGCGGAGACTCCTAACAAGTAAAGCTGGTCAGTCCCTCGTCTGTTGGGGGAAGGACGTCCACAGTTGTCTATGGGGAGGATGGACAGGGCTAATAATTACGATTGTACGTCTTGCTTCGCAAAAGGGAGGTCAGTCAACTCCCTCCTTGAGGAAGTAACCAATCCTCCCTTCTGGGTGTCCCTATTTCAGACAGATCAATAATCAATCAGGGGGGCTGCTGACATAGGGCTGGGGTAAATAGATAAAGTGTGCTCCTAAAATGGGTAGGGTGATACTAGCAGCTCCGCGGGATGACGGAGCCCCGGGTTGACCAGAAAATAACCACAGCCCCAAGAACAACACATCCCAATCTCGTTCCTACATGATGTATCAATGGGATGCTGGACCCGGTTTCCAGCAGGTGCCGCTCCCCACCAATAGATGGAGCAGCCCAGCAGGTAAGCCCTCAATCCTGACGGTTCTCTTACCACCGCCAGGATAGAGGGATATCGTAAGGGCCTTCTTTGGAAAAAAAAAAAAGGAAATGCGCATTGTGGTATGAGGTTGTGGGTTCAAAACTCCGCAGCCTCGCGCATGGACACCAGCAGGTCGTTAGAATGACGCACAGCTGGACACACACTCCCCTGGGCTGACGCATGGTACTATTACAGACACTGCCTGCGCACCACCCAGGGGTCAGTCCATGGGTGTTGTATGCTGGTCTAGTCTTCACGTTGGTTGCTGGTTGTTGTTGGCTTTGGTCGCTCTGATGATCTCCCCCAGTCCAGACACTACACACATTATATCCACTTCCCACAGTAGTACAAGTGGTAGAACCCTCCAGTTTCATACTGGGGGTCACAGGTTCGAGTCCGGTTCCGGACTTTGGGGGGGGTCCTGTCCAGATAGACCTGTCTCTACCACATACACACATAATGAGATACTACCCCAGATAGCACAATCCATACACACATACTATACATACATACATATATATATATATAGGTGAAACTCCGACGAAACAGTTTGTCACAGCCCCTCGTTTGTTGTCCTCTTCTCTCTCTCTGCCTACGGTTTTACCGGGCAGTTCTGTTTGTGACGATATATATATAGCTCAAGGTACACACACACATACATGTACTAGTGGAGGTGATAAGAGCACCTCTCACCAGTACTCAGTACTCACTTCGCAGATGCTCCATGGTGGGGAGCAGCATACAAAACCATACATATAGCCCACGGGCACACATCTATGATACAGAGTACATACACACATACACAACCGTAGGGTTGGGAGGAGGTTACGATCAACTGATAATGATGATAAGCGTCTCGATGATAAGTACCCTGCCTTAAAAATACAGCTAGGGTCTGTGGTGGGAAAGTAGAGGGCGTGAGTCACTGGTTGGTCTGCTGGGTTCTGGCTGGTGATGATGATAGGCGTCTCGATGATAAGTACCCCGCATTAAATATACAGCTAGGTCTGTGGTGGGAGAGTAGAGGGCGTGAGTTACCAGTTGGTCAACT